GATGATTCCCTGTGATAGTTTGTCAGATAACTATAAGAACTGGGCCTGTATCCAGCTGATATCAGATATAATATTACACCTTCTGAAATTATAGCACTCGATTTACAAGCAATCAAATAGGTACCCAAAAGAAAGTTCAGAATGCAGACAAGAATGTTCATATTCTGTAAATCATACAAAATCCTTCACTACTTTTATTAAACAGCCTTACATTTAGAACTGACTTTTTTATTGTATTTTATGATCTTAAAGTTCTGTATGTCTCTGTTGCACCTGCTTCGGTTTGGTTTTTACCAGCTTCATGGTGGTAAAGGTGAGTTATTTACTGTTCCTCTATAGGCCTTTAGATCATGTATAACAGCTGCGCTAGTATGTTTCTACAGTATATTACAGAGTCCGTCACAACACGTTATATTACAGCATCCGTGACAGCAGCAACAGTCCTTTCCATCCATTTCGTCCTTCTCTTCCTTCTTAACTTGATTAATGGTTCTGAGGAGCTTCTCACGAGAGAACTGGTCTTCACCATACACTGCCAACATGCTATCGATCTTCTCCAGCAGGCTGGTCACCTGAGAGCGATCTCCTTCAACTGTGTTGTCGAAGAGGTGAAACCTGCCCCCACACTGCCTGACCAGCTCCCTCAGATCAGGGTCAGTCTTCAGGAGAAACTGCTGAATGGTCTGATTTCTCAGCGCATCTCCGTGGGTGAACAGGACCATGATGCGTCGTTTGACTCCCTTGCTGAACTTCTGCTGTATCTCTGTCAGGATCTTCTTCTCTCCCTGGGAGAATCGGCCCAGCTGGAGCACCAGGAGGAAGACGTGAGCTCCTGGGGCAGACAGATCCAGACAGCGCTTGATCTGTGCCTTGGAGTCAGGACAGGCTTGGTCGAAGAAGTCTGGGGTGTCGATCACAGCCACTGGTCTCCCGTGGATCTGCGTCTCTGCTCTCTGACACTCAGTGGTCACAGCCCGGGAGGAGAGGAAGGTTTTAAACTCCTTTCTTCCCAGGATGGTGTTTCCTGCTGAGCTCTTCCCAGTCCTAGATTGACCCAACAGTACAATCTTCAGAGGTGCAGCTTCTTCCTTCTTCTTATGTTCAGTTTGTGGATGAGTCTCATCTGCAAGGGCAAAAGAAGAAGGAAATGACGTTTACTACCATCACTGTTTTCATCACCATCATCAGCGTGCCTGTCCCAGCTGAGGCAGACCCTGCTGCAGGCCACAGAGGTCACCCTGACATTCTGAGGAGGAAGACGAGCCGAGGAAGAGGAGAGTACAGTGAGACTGTAGAGTGAGATTATCTCTCCAAACCGCTGATGATACAATACAGCTAAAGATATGAGGTCATCAGGCCACACCTCTTGAGTGACTGTGTGTCTCTGCAGCACACACACACATACACACACTGCACTGGGTTAATGTGTCCCACAGGCTCTGCCTCATCGCAGCCAGCAGACTGTGTACCCTGCAAGCCATGTTTCTTCCCCGGTGCTCCAGAATGACAGCTTCACACGCTCTGTAGCCCCACACCAACTCCCCTCTCACCACAGTACAGTATGTCACACCGCTGGCAACAACGTCGATGGTCGGCTGAGAGAATTATCTACCAAATAGAGACATTGCGCTAAAAAGAAGATCTGTGCTGACGTTGCCCTCACACTGCCTGACCAACCTCCTTATCGGAGAAGTCTTGAGTGTGAGGACAGGTCGGACCTGCTTGGTCACAGACAGAAGGAAATGAAAGAAAAAGCACAGTTTCTTCAGTAATTAAACTGTTCCGTGAGCCAAGGGTTCGGCACAAGTTTACAGGTCATTATACCTCCTAACCCTAACTGGTGACCTATTTATGACTAACAAGCTGTAGTTGATAACACTGAGAAATATATTTTTAGATGTACTGTAGCTTTAACTGGCTTGAAAAACTGGACACTTACCGTGTGACACTTCACCCTGATGCTGTCCAGGAATGTCCTCTTTTGTTTGATCTCCGATTAATGGGGAACCAGATCCAGAATCGGTGCCAGTGATGGGTGGTGTGGTGTCGTCTGCAGACATAGTCGGTCTGTCCTGACTCACTCCGCTGTTGCTGGTTGACAGTCACTCTGGAGGACTGATGTCACTGGCGTGGTCCAGGGGCTGTTATAGAGGCTGGGCGGGGCTTCCTGCTGCAGGGACAAAACCAGCCCAGAGCCCCAGACAAACATCACTTCACTCTTCATCACAGAGGAACGAGCAACAATGGGCTCTTTGTTTTCTAAAGAAGGTGAGTTCCGCTAAAGTGCATAGTTTTATTTCATAGCGAGTTTGGCTTCAGGGCTTTAAGAGCTACTTTTCAATGAGCTGAACCAGGAACATACGACATATATAACTAATACACCATGAAAATCAACGTAACTATAATAAATAACAAAATAATTGGACACACACTGTGTACTATTATAAAAAAATATTAACAGTCATAAAGCACAGTCCTGTGCAGTTAGGGTGTGGTGATCTTCTGGGATATTTGATGGTGGTAATAGTAGAATCCAATGGTAATGATCATGAAGTTTGGGAGTCCTCTTCTCTGCTCATTCTGCTTTACAATTTGGCGATGTAGGATTTTAACAAGAAAACACCAAGAAACAGCAGCAAAGAATTGCAATTGAATGTCCTGACGACCAAGGAGCTGACAATATCTTCCATGGGCAGACATAATGGTGTTAAATGTTTTCCTCTGAAGTCATCTCTAATCATCAATAAATCAGAATTGCGATAGTGTCGGCAGTGAGAGGAGGCTGGTGAGCACCAGCAGAGCGCGTGTGGTCTTCCTCGTGGTGTGCCGGTGTGCAGTCGTCTGCAGAGGTTTCGGTTCTCTGGTACAGGGACAGGAAATCTCTCTCTGATCGGAGAGATTCGTTTGTGTTGCCGGTGAGGGGAACACACTCGGTTCTGTCATGAACGCCGTCTGCGGGCGCGTGGGGATCTTAGCGCAGCCCTGGTAGCTGCCCATTCCCATGCGCCGCGGAGTGGGGAGCGCACTGGGAGGTGTGTTCCACTGTCACATAATGAACTGATGACTGTAAGTGTAAGATATTAACACTGTGAAAATGATCGTTTTTGCCTTAACAAGCCTGACAGTGTAATTCTGTTCATGCTGCAGAACCACCACAAGAACCACCACAAGAACCACTACCAGAGAGAAGGATTGTTGTGATCGGGAGAACAGGAGTGGGCAAGAGTGCTGTGTGCAACACCATTCTGGGCAGAGAGGAATTTAAATCTCTACTCTGCAGTGCCTCGGTGACAAAGCACTGTGAGAAACATCACACAGAGGTGGATGGGAGACCCATAGACGTGATCGACACTCCGGGTCTCCTAGACACAAGACACTCTGATGAGGAGACAATCAAAGAGATAGTCAAGTGCATCCAGCTGTCCTGCCCAGGACCACACGCCTTCCTCCTGGTGACACAGTGGGGTCGCTTCACCCCAGAGGAGCAGAACTCAGTGGAGGCTCTGCAGAAGCTCTTCGGAGAGAAGGCTAAGAAGTTTATCATCTTCCTGTTCACCAGGGGAGATGACCTCAAACACCAGACTATCAACAACTACGTAGAGATGGCAGATGGTGAACTGCGTAGGGTGATCAGGAAGTGTGAGTCAAGGTTTCACATCTTCAATAATAATGAAAAGAAAGACCGCACTCAGGTGAGGAAGCTCCTGGACATGATCGACTCCATGGTGGCTGTGAACGGAGGAGGCCACTACACCCAGCAGATGTACGAAGAGGCAGAGAGAAAGATCAGACAGAAGGAGGAGGAGCTGAGGAGGAAGGAGACAGAGGAACAGAGGAGGAGGGAGGAGGAGGTGGCCAAAAGTCTGGAGAAGGCCAAGAATCGGCTGGAGAAAGATCTTCAGAGTTTTGAAGAGAATATCTTGAAGAAATATCAGGAGAAACTAAGGAAAATCAGAAAGGAAGATAAAAATTCCAGTTATGACTTTGACTTCATGGAGGATCTTACGAGTGGTTTTGCTGAATTTAAAAATATACTTGAGGATTCTTAATTGATCTTATTATACATTATATTAGTTGTCTGTCTTTTACCGTTATTGTTAAATCTGATGGTTAAAAATATTTCCCCATCCTAACACGTTATCCCCTACTCTGTTTAATATGTAGACTAAAACTCTGCTGATCTACGTGATCAATGTGCCAGTGTTGATAAAAAAGGCTAACTTTCTTAAATTTCTTAAATTCAAAGAGAGCAGAGAGAGTCACTCGATTCCATTTGGCATCTATTGAACTGTGGAAACTCCGACCGAAGAGGTGAGCAGAAAAGGTTATCAATGACTCCTCTCACCCAGGATGCCTTTCTTTCAAAACGTTTGTCTCTATAGATGCTGCCAGTTGATGAAAACCTGGTGTCTGAACCACCTCTTCCTCCCTGCTTAACCAGAACACACGAAAACAGGATACAGTCTGTATATAACTGTACACTGTGCATGTTCTCTGTGCGAATTGTGCATTTATTATAAATTGGTTCCATTTTCTATTTTCTGTCAAGATGTGATATTTCAATTTGTAGGAAATCGTTGGATTGCATTCCTTGGAGAAACTAGGTCTGTACTTGAGGACCATTCATGAACTAATTGATGACCATTTCGTAAATAATCTAATCATGTTAACAACAACCTGTTTTTTCGGTCTTCTGTGGATGGATTTTAATAGACTCCGTGTTCGTTACAAAGTCTGATACTCAAAATTAAAATTGTAAACAAATATTGCTGAGATGAGTACTTCTTGAGATATTTAACTTTGTACAATTTATGAGTAACACAATGTACATATATTGTCTTGGCTTTTTATGGAATAACTCGATCAGGTCTTAAGAATATTATACTCTTCCTAGTGTTTTCAATATCAGTACTTTAATGCTGATTAGCAAATCATGAATTACTTATCTAGTCCATTTTTAACAGTAGTTTGGGAGGGACTGGCATAAATCTCTTTTTTCTTAATTTCTCACAATTCTTAATGATGTCACTCAAAGAAAATATATTTATTTCATATAGCGCCTTTAAAAATAATTTTGCAAAGTGCTTTATGGTAAGAAACAAAAATTAACAAGGAGAAGAGATAACAAAATGAGTACAATTAAAAACAATGGTTTAGAGAGCAGAAGAAACATGACATTAAAAATAAATATACTGTAATACATGTAACATGATTAAAAATACATAATCTCATACAAAGTACTTATTCAGTACTTCACCTGCACAGGAATCTGCACACCTACACCAGAACCTGGACAGTAAGATTACTGCCCCACAATCCCCCTTAGTTTTTACATACTGTATGTGTGGGGGTCCTGGCCTCTTCGTCCTCTGGCCAGGAGGTCAGCCCTCAGCCCAGTGGGTTGAGCCAAATATCCGCTCCATAAAAGTTCATTACGCCTTGATCTTGGGCGTAGTCATTCCTAGTGAACTACACTTGTCTGTAAACTAATTCTCAGTCATTCTTCACTCAAGTCAAGGAATCTCCTCATTTTGTAAAGGTTTATTCCCTGCTGAAAAGAGAAGGAAAGAAACATAGTGTTTCAGCTGTAAGTTA